AAGTCTTCCTAAAATTTAAGAAGTCAGATGTCTCATCCCTCATTTTTCTGCAGCCAGTATATTGTATCACAGCCAGTGAACAGGCTGGGCAAGACAGAAGTAGTATTTCAGTCCTCATTACACTGTGACTGCAGAGGTGACCTCTTGCTACATGATGAGCATTGCCAAGGTGGCTACAGGTCATCTTGCTCTGCTGTAAATCATATGATGGTTTAATAGCTGTATTATAAATTTGTTTTATGTGAAAAGTTGCACTTCATTTAGCTTCATCTTAAAATGGGTGGGACAAGAAACGTGGGTGTGCTTAAACTAGCCAGGTTTTAGATCAAGTTTTGTATGAGTTGTTTTGACTCTGCTCTGTATTCAAAAACTGGTTTTAAAGTGTCTTTTTAGTTTTAGAGCTATTGTTATTTATCTACAGAAGAGGCCTCAGCTTGGCAAAACACCATGGTGCTGCTGGAGAAACATAAAATGGTTGTGTTCTTGTTTTGGTGGCGGTTTCTGTTTTCTTTCCTTTTTCCTTTTTTTCTCCTCTTCTAGTGGTCACAGAAGGACATTAGATGTCAAAAACTTGTAAAAAAGTGATCCATAACACTCAAACACCTGTGATTTCCTTGTACCAGGTCTGTTGTGTACATCTGTACAGACCATGTAGTGTATGTGGCTGTCATGCAGGGCACTGTGCAGCTCAGATCCTTTGTCCTGTATATGTGCACACCTTCCAGCTGGACAGCCCTACCTGTGCTGCATTTTCTGGGGGAAAAATCTTTGTTGCTAACTTGTTGCTCTCTTGAAAAAGCCCTCTCTGTAGTACTGTGGGCTGTTCCAAGGACACAGATATTGTTCTCTGCTGTGCATGCTGTTTTCCCAGTGATCCACCAAGATCTGTCCCTATATTTTGGTCCCAGTTCTCTAGTGTGTTTGTTTAGGAGACTTTAGGTAGAACCAGAGCAACATAAAAGCCTGCTTTCTTTTGGGAAGGAGGAAAGGGAAGAGGAGAAAGGTACACTGATAGGGAACTGAGGCTTGGGAATAAGTAGTGGACTGAGCACTGGGTTGCCACAGTGTCTGGGAGGGCTAGGCAGAGCACAGCTACAGCAGCAAGGTATGAGCTGGGTGGTTGAAATAGTGCAAAAATTCTGGTTGTGTGTATTTTAAATAGTGTCTGTGTCTGGGGAGGAGAGAGAATGACACACAGTAATCCTACCCTTCCGACCTAAGTAGGTTGCAGTTGGGTAATGCATGATGTGACAGATGTGTATTGTAGCTCTTTGCCAAGCGGGCTTTGCCTCTTCATGCATGCCTTGCTTGGATTTACTGGGGCAGCTCCAAATCCAGAGAGGAACCTCTTCAGCTCAGCTGGGAAAGGTGTCTTGGGCCTGCCAATTAGTGATAAAGGAATGGAGGTGAAGTTGGCAATTAATAGATCTCTGGATGTCACTCACTAAGAGCAGAGCTGCCTTCTTGCCATTTTTAGCTCAAAGGGGGTAGGACTTTGATCCCATTGTTTCTGAATCCAGCCTTTTAGCTGGTGTGTGTGCTTTGTAGCATGTAGTAAAGTTTATTCTGCCCACTAGACCTCAACACTGAGGTTGATGTAACAGAAGCTGCAGCTGGGGAATACGAATTATCCTTTTGTTTGTCTTTTTCCCTGGTAATTCTTAAGTCAAAACTTAATGAACCAAAATTATATGCTTTTGTATTCTCTGTAGATCTGGGCCTTTAACTTCAATGGTAGGTCTGGGATGGTTCACTGACTTCTGTTTTATACTCTTGCCTGTCACAGAAGCTGAATGAAGCCAGCATGATATATCAGATTTGTCAGTGTAACTCAGAGCGGTGTCATTCTGCCGTCTGACGCTCTGCTCATTCTCTCATGAAACCATTTATCTGAGTTAAGTCTCTACAGTAACTTTACATATCAGTCATGAAGTGTCAAATATCTTTTCTAAAGACTTTTGAATAATAATCTGATATGTTGAATGCTATTATCAGTCCTCTTCAGTGACACATCCACTGAGAGCTCCCCTGCTCCCTTCAGCAAATCTTGGTTTATACAAAGTGTCCACCGGCTCGAGATAATCTTTGAGAAACAAAACAGAATTTACACTTTGATTACAAGGGGGCCCATATCTCCAGTTTGTTTAAGTTACAAACCTCATGTATGTTTGTAGTACCTCCTGCAGCATTGACAGAAACCAAATGTGTGTAATCTTGGAAATGTAATTTTTGCTGTCAAAGTAGTTTGCAAGGGGAAATTGTAATGGTGACTTCCTGGCTTTTATCTGTAGGCTTAAAAATAGAGGTGGTAAACAAAAACATCGTGGGACTTTCTTTTCTCGACTTGATTTTTAACACTTTTAATTGTCTTGCTTCATGGGAGATCCTTTTTTTCTCTCTTCCCCCCCTATTTCCATGCACTCTTTTTTTTTATTATTATTTCTTCTGTATAGGGAGGAGTCACCTAAAGGGCTTTATTCTCAAAAAGCAATAGTCTTGAATTGACAGTCACAGGACTGAAGATGTAAGCAGTGAGGGTGCTCCTGGACAGAATGAGACAGTGGCAGTTCAGAAGAGCCTTTCTGTTTCTCCTGAGTGATCAGCCTCCAATGCTGCTGGTGTTGATGGGTGACCACTGTCTCAAGTTCCAAGCCTCAGTTCCTCACACAGAGGCTTGGAAAGTTGTGTAGGAAGCTAGGAATGAGCACCCTGTGCATGGTTATCTGCAGAAGAAGGGAAGCCACATCCCTGAGGAGTGGGACCATTCTGCCCAGCAAGAGGAGCTGAATAGCTGGCTTTAGCTGAAGCAGAGCCTGGTGTCTGTGTAGAGGAAAAATAGAATAAACACAGCAATTTCTGTGGGAGTTCTAGTGGCAAGGGTGACTTCTGACAGCCTGGGTTATAAAGCAGCTTTGGTGTGGGGTAAAGAAAAAAGAGGGCCTTCTTCCAAGACAGCAAATATATGCTTAGCTCAGTATTACTGTCCTAGAAACGTCCCTGGAAGTGTCTGAAGCAATGTGTGTCTGGACAGAGGAGCTCTGAACTTTCCCTTGGCCCTTAGAGGGACACAGTCTAGCTGCCATGGGGTCTTCTGCAGTTCAGTTTAGTGCTTTGCTTGCAGTGGAAACCAGAAATGGAGCTCCTTCTGCAGCAGACTTGAAAATAGAGGAAAAATTAGTCCAGTTCTACCACTCAGAGCAGAAACCTAGCTAGGAAAACTGTCCTGTCCTGTGACTTGGAGGCTGGGATTTCATTTGCCAGGTTTCATTTTTCAGGCCCCATCTTGTAGTAGAATATTTCTATGGGGAAGGTGTCATTAAGCTGATGGTGCTAATTACAAACTAGCTGGAGTTTCTTACCAGTGGTAAGCCAGTTAAGCAGCCCTCCTAGGGGAGAGCAGCAGAGAGTCTTTTCCTCTTGGTTACAGAGGTTTTGACAGATTTTGCCCCATCAGAATTAGAAGGATCCAAATGTGACCAGTCAAGGGAACTTGACTTCAGAGATGTAGCTTTGCTGAATTCACTGCTATCAGATGCTCTGTCAACATTATTTTCCCTTTTCTGAGGTATTATTTCTTACTCCATCTCAGTAAGGGCTTTGGTTTATTTTTCATTAGTTTCCATGCTTCACCCAGCAACAAAATACAGCTGAGCCACAAAACCAAACAGCTGCTTGGATCTGTTTTACTCTCTTAAAGAGTGCTTGCTTCAAGCTGCTGCAGCCTTTTCATGGCTCCTCTGTTCAGCAGTGATCAGGAGCTTTGGATTCACTTCATTTCCTGCCCATTCCTCTGCACTGACAGCCCTCCATTTATTCTTTCCTTGCCTTGTTGTGACTGCTGGTAGGAAGTGCTAGGAAGGCTGACTGGGGTGCACTTCATTGCTTGCCTTCCCTGCCTTTAATCTGGCTACAGAAACTGTCACATGCACCATAGTTTGGGTTGAGAAGAGGGGTTCTGTGACACTTCCCATGTCTGCTGCTGCAGAGGAAGGGTGGTAGTTAAGTTTTCATTGGCAGGTGTAATTTTTTAAGCTCCAGAGGGAAAGGGTGACCTCGGGTGTAATGGGAGTGCTGCAGTAAATGACTCCTGGGTAGGTGGAAAAAGATGTTGACAAATGTCTGTTCTGCTCTGCGTATTGGCTTGCTCTCAGCAAGTCTGCTTAAAACCTCTGCCCAGCTGGGACGGGGATAGATGCTGGAGATGAATAGGGATGCTAAGTTTTTGGCTCAAACACTGTACTTGAAATCCAGTCTGTGCTTTTGAAGTGTGTGTCTTAGTTCTGGCCCTCCTTCACCAGTGTCACACGTGCATTTCTCTGGAGTCAGATTTAGTAAAAGTATGTTTGTAAAGCACTTCACAACCTATGAATGCAAATGCTGTATCACTTCCTGTCATATGCAAACCTCTTTTGTTCTTCTGTCACTTTTTTTTTAACGTTTCAAGCTCGTTGCTGTAGACCTGTGCTGCCTGGGAGGTGCAAGGAGAGAAGTGTGCTGGGCCAGCCCCTCTGGGCTGGGAGCTGTGTCCCTCTGGGGATGCAGTGCTCGGGTTTCAGTAACACAATGCTCTGTGCAGCCATGTGTGTGTGCAAAGAGCCAACTGGCTGCAGCTCCCGCCGTGATGCTCGGCTGATTTGGCAGCAGGATTGATTCTGTCAAGTTACAGTCCGGGAGTTAAGTCCAGCTTCAAATCCTCTCCCTTACCCGCTCGAGGAACTTGGAGAGGGGAGGGAGGCGGGAAGAAGAGGGGGGGAGCTCTCTGGGGACTTTGTGTCATTATTGGCATGGAAACATTTTGTGATTATCAGCAGCAGGGTAGTGGCAAGGGGCTGATTATCTGTCATGTCGTCAGCATAAATAACCAGTGGGCCCCTGAGCAGGGCTCCGCCTTTGTGATGGCTTCACGTAATCGCTGCAGAACAGTTTAAAAGCAAGCAGTGCAGAAAAGCAGCTGGACTGATCCTGACCCTAACTGATGTTGCCTTTTCTCCCCTCACCAGAAGAGAAATATGTCACCATCCAGCCATATGCCAGCCAGGGGAAGGATGAGATTGGCTTCGAAAAAGGGGTCACCGTGGAGGTCATCCAAAAGAACCTGGAAGGATGGTGGTACATCAGGTAAAGGAGCTGTGCAATCTGCAGAAACTGTGACAATGAGCCTTTCTGATCATTCACTCAATGCTAGCATTTAAATCATTCTGTAGCTGGACAGGGAAGCCCAAATTGTTCATAATGCCTCTTGAAGAAATTTAAAGAAAAGTCTGAGGCAATTGGATGGTGACTAAAGTAACACTACAGTGTCTGCAAAGGCTGTGGGCCATTCCAGTGAGGAAATGCCTTAACTTGCAGTTTTAGAGGGTTTTTTTCTTGCTTCAAGTTAAAAGCCCATATCTGAATTAAGATCTGTGAGACCTAACAAGGCTTTCTGTTGTATATAATTTTCATGTGTTTCCAGTATAAGAGTTACTCTGCAACCTATTTAAATCTATTTATAGCAATGCTGAAAGGCTGATTGTGATCTCTTGAGCTGTTTGGGGCAAGTAGTGCTACTTTCAGGGATATGAGATCAGTTTGCTGGCTATAGCCCTTGTGCAAGCTTACCCATGGTTTCAGCTAATTTGCTTTGATTTTTGTCTGTCTACATTGGATATTCCTAATGTAGAGGGACTGCATTCCAAGGGCAGGTGAAGTTATTATTGTATATCAAATTTTGTTATGTAGTTGGAACAGTGGTCCTAGCAGAGTTTTGCCTGAAAAATCTCCTTTACAAATGCTTATGGGGAGACTGTAAGTTAGATATTGTCTCAGTGATGTAGGGTGTCAGGATGAGCACTTGATGAGAGATTTCTTCATCTAGGTTCACACAGCATTTGGGTTTTAGTGCTCTTCTGTGGTTCTGCCCCTTGTCTTGTATCTGTGTGTGAACCTCTCAGTGCTGTGACATCCCATTTCTCTTCAAACAAGATGTGATGCAACAAGTAGCTTAAAATGGAGGTTTGTCTCTCAGCAGTGCAGAACATCTCATATAGTCATCTTTTTCCATTCAACATGTAATTATAGTGATTTTTTTCCTCTTTCCCTCCCCAAGTTATAGCTTGCTTTTGTTTGAATGCTGCTTGATTTATTGGCTATGGATGAGGACTGTGAAAATGCTGACTGAAGCAGTGTTGTTGTTTTTCTTGATTTCCCTTACTTAGTAGAAAAAAAAAAAATCAGTTTTTTGTCTAATGATCCCATGGAGCAAATAAGCTAATAAAGATAGCAGTGGAGCCAGGAAGGCACTCCAGATAGGAGGAGCTCAGAAATGCCTGGGTTTGGTCAGGTCACATTTTTTCTCCATTAATTGTCTACAGAAGTGGAATCCAAAGTCAGGGCTCAAGCTCATAGGTTTTTCTGAGGGGAGAACCATTGCAAGACACTTCTAGTTTATTTTTTTATTTTATTTCTGCAATGTAGCCTGGTTACTACTGTAGGTTTCCCAACTCCTACAATTAGTTGAATTTTTTTCCCCTTTATCTCACACACCTCTTTGAGTCAACCCAAAAGACACATTTTTCTATACACCAGGAGTGCCTTCTGGAGCATGAGGACACTTGCTGCAGTGGTTTCCATGGCATCTCCATTCATGGAATCTGCTGGAAGGACAGTGGATACCCCAGCCACACCGTGATGGCTGGGGATTGCAGCATGTGCTTGGCTTTCTTGGAAGAGGCATTTTGATTTGAAAAATCCTTCTTCTTGTTGGAAGATGTTATGTGCTCCCCATATGTGTGACAAGTATAGGGGGTGCCAACTGTGCTCCTCTCTGCTGCTTTGGAGCACTGTGCTGCTTTCCTCCTCTAAACTCTTAGAAACAGGTTGGTTTTTTTCCATGGGCAACACTTGCAGAAATGTTGATGATGTGATCCATCCCTGCAAGCTGGTCCTTTGCAGCCTGGGTAGCTGATCTCCTGCTGTTGTGCTGTTTGTTACATGTAAACTGCCCTGAATGCTGTTAGGTAACCCTCAGACAAGGATTCCCTTCCTGCAGAAATTTGCTTCTCTGAGTACTGAGTGCCTTTGAAGGAGCAACTCATTCTCCTCTTGTGAGTGTGAGGGGAGAGGGAGCAGGAGGAGAACGTTGAGGGAGGGAGCAGTTGAACTCTGGGCTGGATAACAGACTGAGCACACTTCAATGTGTAGAGAGAAAAACAAATCCAGTAGTTTGTAAATGAAATCCACCTTAAAGACATTAGCTTGTTCCACCTTAAATATGTAATTTCTCCAAATTCTTGGCCATGTGCTGATCCTCATTTCCTGTCCTTCTTTTTCTTTTCTTTCTTTTTGCTTTTCTTTTTTTCTTTTTTTTTTTATTTCCCTAGTTTGCTTCCCTCTGGAATAATTCCAGTGCTCTGGAGCTGGAAAGCAGATGTGACTCTCAGACTTACAGAGGCACTTCTGACTTTTTTTAACATTCCTATGGTTTTAATCCATTTTTTCCTTCACGCAATATAATCAGGGAGGGTTTTGGAAGCATGAAGGAACCAAATCACTGCACCTAATTCTGAGACCCTCCCAATTCAATGCTGTACAAGCTAGAGGCAATATTGGTGTCTGTCTTTATGCTGCCCTACATGCATTATGACTTAAAAAAAAATCAGGACTAGGGAGAAATGAAAGAAGGGCTCTGTCCTGGGATCCTGCTTACTGCTGCATTGAGTTCAGTAGATCTGTGCTTCCCAGGGTGCCCATAGCTGGCATTAGCATCCCTCATTTAGATCTTACTTTGTCTCCAGGTGGCAGCAACAGATACAATCATGTGGTGCCCAAGTGGACTGACTGCAGGGCAAGTTGGTACCAATATACTAAGTAAAGCTTTTTTTATTTGTCTTCATGTCCTTCCTTTTGCTCTGAGCCTCAGCCCATGAGAATGAAGCACAGCTGGGAGGTGCTGGCAGCACTGAAATGAGGAGGAATCTAGGATGGGGTTTCAAATGTCTGCAGTAGGTTCTGAATATAAAGGAAGGAAGGAGGGATACTTGGGAGTCAACTCTTAAGATGTGAAATGAAAATTGTTACTGGTTCAGGACTTCGCCGAAATTGATTAACAGTTGTTTTAGTTCTTTCACCTATAAAATGGGGAAGATCAAGGAATCTTCCAAGGTTATTCTTCAAAGGGCTTAAAGATTAACAAATTCAAGGACTAAGGTAAAAAATGTAAGCATATTTCACTTATGTAAGTAATTGTTATTTGTGATATTGCAGAAATAAACCAGTAGTTTCTGGTAACTACTGCTCAGCCTTAACTTCAGGTTAAATTGGCTGGCACAGGAGGAAGTAGCCTACAACAGCCTCTCTGCTGAGGGTATGTTGCCCAGAGTTACTAACTGTCCATCTGTTGCTGCTGTTATTCATGGGGAGAAACTATGTGAGATCAGAGGTGTTTGTAGCAGTGGGGTTACCCAGGTTTATCCAGATACTTACAGCTGGCAGGAGAACTGACAGGCCAGTGCAGGACCTGCCTGTGGCTGTCTTTCTGATCTCAAACATGTTAAGTCTCCCACAAACTAAGATGGATGTAAACTGTTTTTTCTCGCTGATTTTGCACAACAGATGACAACCTCCACATAGTATAAACTCAAAAATGTTCTTTAAAAAAAACTCCCTTGATGCAAAGGCAGCAGAGAGCATTGATCAGCAGCTCTGCAAAAGGGCTGTCAGTTGCAAAAGGAAAGAAACCAGAAGTCTTCAGGGCTGGAAAATGGCATTGGGTGATGCCTTGACACAAGAGGAATTGTGGCATGTATTTCCTTATTTCCTTTTCCTTTTTTTGGCTTGGTTTGAGGCCTAGCAGAAAAGCCTCAAAAGGAACAAGATTGAATAGATCCAAATTGCTTCTTGACATAGCATCACACAGTGGATGCTCTGTATATTTTTAAGTCAAATCAAGTTAGTACCAGGTTGCTACTTCTTGTTAGTCTCCATGCATCACAGAAAGCTCAGAGCTCTTGGAATGATTTCCTTTGACATCAGAATCATTGGAAAAACTTGCCACTAAACTCCCTGAGCAGAAGAGATCCTACATATCTACTTTCATGTGTGACAGAAGGCAAGTATGTAAGGAGAAGCAGAATCTCTAGTATCCTGCCTAGTCTAGGGGGGTGAGGAGGAAAAGGCAGGATTTTGGACAGAAAGATCCTTGTAGTCATTGCTACAGTTGTATTTGCTTTTATACAGGAAGAGTGATAAAGAAGTCTAGAGAATCAAATCTACACTGCATTTTCCTGTTCTCCCTGTAAAGTCCCAGAGCCACTCTCAAGTGTGTGGATGTTGTGAGGAAGACCAGGATGAGATTTGATGCAGAAATCTCACTGGAAACCTCAGAATCCAAGTGCTGTCATAACAAAGAAGCTCACCTGCCAGGAAATTATTTACTCATATCCCATGTGCCCCAGCTCTTTCCTCTACTGTCTAATGAGGCTCCATTTTCAATAAAGAACCTTAGAGCCCTACTGTTTTAACCTTTGTATTTCCTGCAGATTTCCTGAGCACCAGGATTTTGATGGTGCCTGCTTTCTCACTTACACTTCAAGTGCCTGCTTTGGGTATCTTGAGAGAGTAGAGAGAAGGTTTTCAGTGACTCTCCCTGTAGCAAGTTAGGGTTTCATTAGGGAAAGCAGAGTTCATCCACACGGTCCTCCCTGGAGTCTGATTGTAATCTGAAATCCCTGCTGAGGTGTTAGGAATGGCAGGAGTTAGAAAAAAAAATCTTCCCTAAAGCCCAGTTGTGGAAGAATTACCTCAGTTTGAAGTGTAGCATGATCAGCTCAGGATGGTGTTTCAGGAACATGTACTGGATTCAGGTGTCTGTTCACATTTCCCAGTTTATTTCTTCAAATTGCCTCTAGCTTGTTCAGGAAAATGAGTCTCCATCAAAGCCATTTTTCCTCAGATAAATTGTTTCTCGATCTTGCAGTGCTAGAAGAAGCTGCAGTAGTTTAAGAGTCCCACATGTTCCATGGCAGAAAGCTGCTCATGCAGAGCTGGGAATTATGGAAGGAGGGCCAGTGTTCTTTATAGTTTCAGGGAGGGAGGCTTGCACAAGGATCTTAAACTGCAGGTGCAGGTTCTCTGTACAAGGTGTTGTACACCCTTATTTTAGCCCATATTCAATCTGAGTTGCCACTAGGAAGTTTAAAAACTATTAAAATATTTTACTTACTAGTTTGCTTTTTTGCTGTGTGGGAAAATACTAAGTTTGCCTAGTACTGTCTAGGGCAGGCATAAAACAAACTGGTGAAGCTCTTTACCTTGTGTGTAACTATTTCTTGTCCAGAAAGGCTCCTTTCTTAGTATGATTTCTTCTACGCAGTTCGCTACTGGTTCAGCTGACTTTGATATGTCTAATCAATAGATAATAAATGAGTAGAGACTACAAAATCTTGTTTGAAAACTGCAAACTTTGACGTTTTTATCCATCACTTTTGCTTTAGCTGTTCTACCTGAAATGCATGAGAAGTCTGTGTTTGATGTGGTGGTGTTTCCTTTTGCCTCTCCAGGTATCTGGGCAAAGAAGGCTGGGCCCCAGCTTCATATCTGAAGAAGGCTAAAGATGATCTTCCATCTAGGAAAAAGAACTTAACTGGGCCAGTGGAAATCATAGGAAACATCATGGAGATCAGTAACCTCTTGAACAAGAAATCATCTACTGACAAGGAAGCTCAAGTAGAAAATGAGTCTGCAGAAACTCACATCACCAAGAAGGAAATCAGTTTGCCCATCCTGTGCAATGACTCTAATGGCAATGCTATGATGACTCCAGACAAGCAGGCTTCCAAACTGGCCCAGGGATCCCCAGCCATAGCAAGGATAGCACCACAAAGAGCTCAAATAAGTAAGGCAGTAAATTAGTCCGGGTTTTCACAGGCTTGCAGTGAATTCCTGCTCTCTACCTTTCAGGGTTGGCATTGTCTGTCAGCTAAGGTCACACATGTTCTGGCCTTACAGCCAAGTCCACACAAGCAGACCTTTGCATAGCCTGTAGATGTATCAAGAGGGACTCCAGAATGTGATCCTTCACTAGTAGTGATAAAATTTATCTTCACTTTATACACAGGCTGGCTGGTGGTTCTTTATTTTAGCCTGCATGTATTTACTTAGGTAATTTTTCCAGAGAATACTTTTTTCCTTTTGAACACTCTAAAATGTGCCCTTCTAGCCCAGAAATGTAGATGATGTGATTGCATGTTCAAGTTGAGGAGACCACCTGTGTCTTCTCTTGCATTTGGTCTGCTGTTTCCCTGGGGGCAAGTTGCTATAATGTTTTTACTACTTCATCTGCAAAATGCAGATGCTGATGCTATTCTGTGCAAGGAATGGCAAAATAACAGGAGATAGGACAGTGTGAGTTTTTAGTGAATTACTTCTACTGCTGGGGGGAAAATAGGTATTAGTCAGTCCTTTGTTATCCAGTCTCCAATGGAGCTGATCAGATCCAGGAGAAAATACAATCCACTGCTTTCTGGCAGTGATTTCCTCTTAAATTTGCTGGCTTAGCAGAGATGAATAGCTAAGCTACCTTGGTATTTCTAATATATTCTCATAGTTTCCTATCTTGTTTCACAGAGATGCCTTAAATATTGCAAATACTGGCTTCTATTCTCAAACTGTGTAACAGCAGAGAGCTGCTGAAAAACATGTTTAGCAGTACTTGTGAAGTTAAATAAACTCTCCCTGTTCCCTTTCCTACTCAGGTTCTCCAAATCTAAGAACAAGGCCACCCCCACGAAGAGAGTCCAGTCTGGTGTGTATTGGTTTATGGTTTATCTTAGCAGTGGGTAGGTGTCTGGCTGCTTTGTGAGACTTTGTGCAGCTCTACAAGGTGGGAGGGATCCTTTATTTGCGTGCCTGTTCATTTAATTGTTTAAGTGTTGAGCAGACCTCAGGACATTCTAATGATAAATCATGTTTTCTGTTATTCAAAATGTTGCCCCAACTAATCAGGTCTGAGGGGAGAACAGGGTAAAGCTGCTGTGTTCTGTGCATTAAAACTTGTTTGGCTGACTCAGAAGGTTTAAATGTCTTCTGGGTGTCTTTAGCCCAGACTGAAGTTTCTGACCTTCTCTTGTCTCAAGCAACTGGGAATGTGTCCCCTGCTTCCATTGCTGCCCCCTTTGAGGTGGCTGAGCTTCACTCTTGTGCATGTTTGAAGTGGCTCAGAATCCTGTGGAAGGATGTGTGCTACAGGAACAAGACCCCTTATGATTTCTTATCCCCAGAGCTAGCATCCTGGAGGTTTGTGCCAGTTTGAGGTTAGAACTGTCATCTTCAATAGGAACTAGTCAGTAGTGTATTTATACACTAAAAAAGTCATGCTAATGGCTTGTTTATCTAGGCAATACATAGTGTTTAATCTTTGCTGTACCCTTTATGAGCCGTATGTGATTTTTTTCTTGTAATTTTTCTGTCACCAGAGATGCTTCTTAACAAACTACATGAATAGCATATTAGCATTTTCTTCCTATTTTTCTTTGCATTATTTTCAATTAGACTTTGTTTTGCCAAGACTATGACACTTAATCCCATGCTAAAAATAACAGTGATATTATATGTGAAAGCCTAAGCATATCTGCTGTTTTCAATTATCTTCTTTTAATCCAAACCATCCTATTATCTGAAGGCATTTTATTATGCTGTGCTTCTGCTGTATTTCAGCATTTATAGTGCAGAAACATTCAATTATAACATTGTTAGACACGGTTCCTAAGGTGCAGAACTGCATTCTCTGTGAGATGCCACATGCTGTGCGTGATGAAACATCAGCTGTTAGTTACAGAAAGGGTATCATAGAAATAGAGGAGCAGGAGAAAAAAGCACAGTGTGTGATTTGCCCTTCTCCCATTGATGGCTCAGGATCATTTTGTGTCTTTGTCTGCCCTGTGTTGGTCTGTGGATGCTCTGACCTATGGTTCTTTCACAGAACCCTGAGTAGTGAAGTGCAGAAGCTGTGCAGATTCACCTAGCTGCCCTGCAGATGGGCACTGTGCTCATCTGAAAAGCTTTCAATATTGAAATTCCTGAAAGGACTCTTTTCCCATTTATCACCTTATAAAATCATTGTAGCAAATCTAAAATGTGGCAGCTTAATGTAAAGGCACTTAGCTTTTGGAGGAGTCTGCTATGCTGCCAGAATGGCTGTAAATAGCAGTGTCTCACTTCTTATAGAGCCTTTACCAAGGTTGTGTTGGGATTGAGTAGAGGTTCTGGGTCTGTTATGGGGAGGAACTGGAATTGTTTTGATCAAGCAGTAAAGTCCTTCCCTTCTAGCACTTCAGCTGGGCAAAGCTGGGGGTCTATGATATTATCCTTGTTTCTTGCTGCGAGAGATGCCCATTAGCTCACATCGCTCACTAATTCAGATTGTTTAAAAAGTCCAGCAGCAGATATGAAGCAATGATTCATTGGGATGACATTTTAAGATAGTGTATTTAATGACAGGCAGAATCTATTAGGGGTCTCTTGCAATGCAAATTTCTGCAGTGGCATGTCACCCAGAGCTGAATCTTTCTGGACAAGATCTGAGGGTAAATGGGCTGCTCTTAGTGTGCCTGCAGTGGCAGCTCATGCTTCATCACCCACAAGTACAACATTTTACTATTCACGTAAAGATTATTACAGTTTAATAGTTGGTGAAGGTGGCATGAACAGTGCATATGTGGAGAGGTTTTTCTCTTTTAGCCCATATCAATACATCAGCTCCTGTTCAGGAGAACTGGGCAGTTAGCATTAGGAAGTAGCACAGGAAGAAGAAAGAGTCTTAGTGAATAAAAGCAATTTTTTTTCCTACTGCTGTTTAGCTGACTGTGTCTTTGGTTTAAATGAACAAAGCATCCTATTTGCCATAGGGTTTTCAGTTACCCAAGCCACCAGAGCCACCCTCTGTGGAAGTGGAATATTACACCATTGCTGAATTCCAGTCATGTATCTCTGATGGCATAAGCTTTCGTGGAGGACAAAAAGCAGAGGTGAGCCTTAACAGTGTATCTGGAAAAATTGCAATATATATCTGTTGCATGGGAGTGGACTGGAAGGGCAGGAGAGGGAAGCAGTGAGTTGAGATTTTTGTCTAAGTAACATGTTCCTTGTTACCTCTTAGGTTATTGAAAAGAATTCTGGGGGCTGGTGGTATGTGCAGATTGGAGAGAAGGAAGGATGGGCTCCAGCATCTTACATTGACAAGAGAAAGAAACCAAATTTGAACAGAAGAACCAGTACATTAACCCGCCCAAAGGTTCCTCCCCCAGCACCTCCCAGTAAACCAAAGGACTCTGAAGAAGGAACGACTCCTGGAGCAGTTTCTTCAGGAGATACCCAGGACTCTCCCCACAAGCTGAAATACGAAGAACCTGAGTATGATGTACCTGCCTTTGGCTTTGACTCGGAGTGTGAAGTGAGTGAAAGTCACCATGAAGAGGGCACTCCTGAAAAACGACTGTTTCAGCCCCTCAAGCCCTCACCTGTGTCATCACTTCAGAAAGCTAAGTTCAAAGTAGGAGAGTCATCAGAAGAAGTTGCTCATGAGGAAGAAACCATCTACGAGAATGAGGGGTTCAGGCGTTATGTGGAAGATGCTTTGTCCAACAAGGAATCTAGTGGGGATTCTGATTCTCAGAAAAGCTCCTCTCTGTCCTTGATCCGAAGGAATTCTCCATCTTCCAGCTCTCCGAAATCATCACTCATGAAGCTCAAGACAGACAAAAACATTCAGCCTGATCTTGGAAAATGTCACTATTCCAGGAGTGAGGAGACAAAACCGAGATCAGCTTCAGATGTCGGCTTACGTAGCGTGCCAAGAACAGGCATGAAGAAAGATCCCGGGCAGAGTCCTTCCATCAGAGCAAAGCCAATCGTTAGGCCCAAACCCTTCCTGAACAAGGCAGACTCTCAGAGCCAAGAAAAGATGGATATTAGCACTTTAAGGCGTCAGTTGAGGCCAACTGGGCAGCTCAGAGGTGGACTCAAAGGTTCAAGAAGTGAGGAGTCTGCAAGCCCCCCACGCACAGCTTCTGAGAACCAGGATGACCCTGTTCGGAGAAGCTCAGCTGATCTCATCACAGCTCCTTCCCGTGGTGTCTTCTGCTCCAGCCACACTGCCAAAACTGAGCAAGAAAATGACTCCCGATGTTTCTATGTGACCACTGACTCATACCAAAAGGTACAGGATTCTGAAATTTGCTTCCCAGCAGGAGTAGAAGTGGAAGTGCTGGAAAAGCAAGCTAGTGGATGGTGGTACCTGAAGTATGGAGACATGGAAGGCTGGGCTCCTTCCCATTATTTGGCTCTCCCTGATAACCAGCGAGAAACTACATCAGCAGAGACTGATTCCTCTTTTGCCAGGAACAGGAAAAATGAAAACAAGTCAAACAGTTTAGAGAAGATAGAGAAGAGGGTTCAGGCTTTGAACACCATCAACCAGAGCAAACGTGCAACGCCACCCATCCCAAGCAAACCTCCTGGTGGCTTTTCCAAAGCATCAGGGCCGGTTAAAATGAGGAATGGTGTGAGGCAACTTGCTGTCCGTCCGCAGTCAGTGTTTGTGTCTCCACCACCAAAGGATAACAACCTGTCATGCTCCTTGCGCAGGAATGAGTCTTTAACAGCCACAGATCAACTTAGGACCGTCCGTCGCAATTCCTCCTTCAGCAACGCCTGGTCACAGCCCGGTGACCCAAAGGGAAAGCAGCCAGAGCGGCTGGGCACGGAGAGCTCTGAGACCACCTCCAACCTCCCCACGCAGAGGAACGGCATCCCTGTGTCCACAGTCAGGCCAAAGCCCATTGAGAAATCCCAGTTCATCCACAACAACCTCAAGGACATCTATGTTTCCATTGCAGACTATGAAGGGGATGAGGAGACTGCGGGGTTTCAGGAAGGTGTCTGCATGGAGGTCCTCGAAAAGAACCCAAACGGCTGGTGGTACTGCCAGATAATGAGTGGTGTGAAGCCATTCAAAGGCTGGGTGCCCTCAAATTATTTGGAGAAAAAGAACTAATGTTGCAATATCTTTAACCTCCCTAATTTATACTGTTCCTGCTGTGTACATGTGGAAAAAACAATTGCTACACAAAAAGACGTTTCCCTGTGCTCCAGTTTGTACAAAGAAGTCTATATGAGGACAAATCTGCCATGTTCTGGAGAGGTTTGTGGGGTTTACATGTTGTAAGCAACTACGAGGAAGATGCAGCATAGTCAAATGCCTTTTTGTGAAGTTGTTAATAATCTTGTATGTGTAACAGGGTATGACATCCCATCCTTCCCATTATTGATAGGAAACCAAATGTGTGCCTTTTGTGAGAGAAATACACATGCATCTACCTGGGGAGTTCTGTGCCAAACTGTTTTACAATCTTGGCTCCCTTTCTCCTCATTTTTGTCAATACGTGGAATACCCAAGAATTTTGGAAGCTTTTCCACAACTTAAAGTGAGAAGCAAATGAAAGTTTCTGAAACACAGAGGGACTCTAATCTTTTGGAGATGTTCACTTTTTTTTTTTTACTATACTCAACAGTTGGTAGGTCCAGAGTTGGAGCCTTTTCATCATGGAGAGTTTTGGTCTCTGACTTCAGTGTTGTTATGGCTAACTCACCGGAAAAGGCCATCAGGTGGTGTGGGTTGGGGGCTTTTTGTTTCCTTTCATTCTGTCTTGTTCTTTGAGTTGGGATTTCAGGTGTTCAAGGGCAGTGATGCCTACTGGTGCTTGTAAAAACAAACCTTCAAACCCCTTGCTTAAACACATCTATTACTGTGTAGGCTTCATGTTTGGTTCTGTGCCTGACTCCTGCCAGGTGACACTGGTTAATTCTCTTCCCAGAGTTAGGTTTCTCAAAAGTTATCAAAGTCAACAAAGTCCCTTAAGACACTAAAGACAAAGCTGTCAAATGTGTTAATTCTTGTTTTGCCCTCTGGTCCAAATCCAAGGGTGCTGATTGCTGGCAGGGCCCACCAAGATATTAATGAGAAAAATTTGTAACCTTCTGCAACATCAGTGTTTACAATGAGTTGAAAAAAAAAAAGCCATCAAACTCAGTCTGCACATAATTTGTATATTTTTGGGGAATTGCTTTTGTGTTTTGTTTTTGTCTTTTCTGTGCATTCTGGGTTTAGTGTATTTTCTTAGTGTGTGTGTCTGGTTTTATAGAAAAGACTTAAAACTGAAGTAGGAGCCAAATATGTGTTTCTGTTCCCACTTGAATCCAAAGAGTACATTTGTACTGGAAAGTGGGCCTGGGCTTCTCAGGCTCAGAGATTTCATATCAAAGCAATTTGGTCTACAATGCATCTAACCAGGAAGCTGCCTCTTCTACTTCCAGTTCTGTTTGCCTTTTGTAACTCATGTTTTGAAATGTGGCACACGGTGTGGGTGGTGTGGGAAGTGGAAGAGGTACCCATCGGAAGGGGCTAGGAACACGGAGTTATTTGTGAGGTAGCCTTGTACTGTAAACATAATTTACTAAATGCCTACTGTGCTTAAGGAAGCATGCTTGGGGGTTTTCTTAAATGGCCTTGTTAATCACTCAATATCAATATCTAATTCCTTTAAATAATAGGCAGCATTGTAAATCTGTTCTACGGGAGGGTGGGGTGGGGGGGGACAGAAGACCATTTCACTACTGGTTTACACAAAGCATTACATATCCTTTTTTCCACCAGAGTTTCATACTGATTTGGCTTGGAAGTTGAAGGTTATAAAGGCTTCAAAATAGCTGGGATCAAGGGGCTGAGTAAAACAGCACAAGACCATATGTTACTGGGGATGTTTCACTGCCAAAAAAAATAGGAAATTTATATGTTATTCTTGTCTTTTTCCTCTTTTTTTCCTTTTCTTTTTTTCTTTTTTTTTCTTTTTTTCTTTTTTTCTTTGTGTGTGTACGTGTGTGTGGTTTGGGGGTTTTATTAATTTCCATGATAACACTGAGAGAGTTGCCTACAGCTAATGTGGCTGATGTCCTTTCGGTAGCTGAAACAACATCCAGGTGCCCCAGCTACAGGCTACAAACAGTGCTGTGGTTTGAGCAGCTCTCTGCGTGCAGGTGGGAGGGGAGGCTGTTTGTTTGGGATCCCTTTAAATTGTGGTGGCAGGAGAAGGAGGTGTAACTGCACAACAGCTCATATCCCGATGCGGGGTCCTCTCTGTATGTTGATGTCTCACCATGCACTGTGTAAGTGCATGTCCAGTTAGCTTCATCTCACTGGATGTGTGTCAGTGTGAGACATTGTGGCCCTGTCTCTCATACTTCTCCCCATTTTTAGTTGTACTAATATGGTAGCAGCCACAAAAGACTGCTGGAGCTGTTGTGAGATTATAATAGAAGTATTATATTCTTCTGCTGGACAGTATTAAATAGAGCAATACATAGAGTTATCTGCTAGATTGCAGTACTAATAGTAGTGACTTAGTGATTCGTATTAATGTTATGATTTATTTTAACAATAATGATGCGGAAGTGGTTCATTATTTTGAATTAATGCACTTTAACAATAAAAGAAACCAAAATGGAAGCCAATGCAGAGAACTAAGTGCATTATTTAAAGGTGCAGTATATAATTATCATTTTCTTGAAGCACATATTTATTAAGAATTAACTTATTATTTAAAGTATTCTAAAGTTTTGTTTAAAGACATTCCCACTAGGTCATCTCTTTGGGGGGATGTAAAGCACAGCTCCCAGATCTTCTGCATTGAGCCACTGAATTCACTGAGTATGGTATGGTCTGACATGAGCCCCTATCCAAGGAGGGAAGAGCAGCAAGGAGACAGAAGAGCCCAGACTGCTGGAAATACTCACATTTGCATCCAGCAAAGCCAAGCCCTGGGCACCTGTGAACTGCAGGAGTCCTTGCAGGGTGTGGGGTGGCACAGGTGTTTTTGGCACAGTTGCAGTGCCTGGCTGCCATGTGCCTTGCACAGGGCTGGCCCCAGTGGATGCAAGTTCTCAGCGAGGTTCAGGTTAGGAGACTTCGGGATCTGCCTGAGACAGATGTCTGTCTGTCCCACAGCTCCTGTTCCATCTTGCTGGCTTGCTTCTCCAGCTCTGGCTTTTGCAGGGAGGTGGTTTGCAGTGCTCAGGCAGGGCAGGGTGGCACAGCATGAGGCTGCCTGCAGTACTGCCAGGGGTTTCTTACACAGCAGCAGCTCCATGGCTCAGTTGCTGCTTTATCCCATCTCAAAGGCTTCACACCCTCCTGAGGAGAGGCCAGACCCTGTAGATGGGCTGCAGAGCCACACTTGTGGCCTCCCTCTGCCCTCACCTGTACCAGCAAAAAGGATGGGGTGCAGATGGCCTATTTGGTGCCAGAAATTATTGTTGGCCACCACTTGCCATGCTGGCTTCCACCCTGGTGGAAAAGCGTCCATTTGGGTTTCCCTTCACTTGGTAGTTGTTTTGGCTGCTTGTGTTTAAAAGGGCACTTTTAAAACAAATACTCCCAATGTAATTTTTCCCACTCCTGTCTTACCATTGTCATAGCATCTTTCACTGAGGTGTTCTCTCTTTTTTTGATGCTTTCAGCTGAGAGATCTCAGAAAAATAATTATTTTTTCCATTGGCGAGCAGCTAGTTTTGGTCGGTTCTACCGATACCTGAAATAGCAAGCCCTTCACTCTTAGCTGTGAAGCAGAGGGAAGGGTCTTAAGCTACATCAGCAAAGCTGACTGCAGGGCAGGAAAGCCTGGCAGAGTACTCAGAGGGCAGTGTAGTGTTAGAAGTGTTTTAGCTCTTTTCTAAAAATGTTAACGTCGCCTTATATTTACTAAATTTGTCAGAACTGACACTGGATCAAGAGCAATATTTAAATGTAATGTACACCTCAGTGAACACTCAATGCAGAAATCAATAGTACTGTTTAAATTTCTCTTTCAGATTGTTAAAAGGAAGAGTCTGCAGGGCTTGAGCAAAGCCATTTGCAGCTGAAGGGGGCCCTCCTCTGGGGGGAGAGGCAGCTGCTTGTGCTGTCTGCTCTCACCCACTCTCTGTATTTTCCAAAAAGTCTTGAATTTGGACCAGCAGAAATTCCAAACTCCAATGCCAGAGAACAAAATTAAAGAATGTGAAAATTGTGTCTTGCTGTATACTGCAACTTTAATAATAATGAGCACTTCTGAGTTCGTTATTGAGGTTTATATAATGCCTGAAAAGTTTATTTGCTGGTTTTCCTTGTCTCCCCTTTCAAAACACTTCCTCACAACAGCAAGAGTCATGCATTTTGTTAGGAGTCCTTCCTCATGGGAGGCAGTTCCTGTTCATTGTTTTAGCTGTCACCCCATGCAGTCCTATGTACCAGTTCTTTGCAAGCCACACCTTTCAAGGTAAAAGAGATGATGGGCACATGTTGGAGTACTCAACTGGTGTGTCAACAGGAGGTTTTTAAATTGATGTATTCAGTAGCAGCAAATACACAATAAGGAAAGACTGCGATTGTCTTGCAGCTAGACTCTTCAAAATGGAAATTCACATCTGCATGGGTATAGCTAAAAAATGCATTTGTCCCTTGTGGATGCGTACCCCAAACACTCCTTCCATTATGATGCTATAAAGTTTGACGAAGGCATTATATAATTGTTTTCATCACTTTCAGATCTTAATGAATCATATTTTATTGTAATATATATTCATTGCTTTCCTCAGTTAAAAAGAAAGTTACTGCTTTTATCTTATATGAAAAACAAGGGAATTTGATAAAGCATTCATTATTTTCATATTACTAGTATTAACAGAATAGATCTAGTACTATTTAATTTTAGATCTTCATAGCTAGCTTGTTAATAACTCATATTTTCCTGTGTTGTATCCTACTATTTTTTCTATTTTTTCCCGAATATTCTGCATTCTTGAGAAAAAGCAAATCCAATGAGTGGATAAGTGCAATATTCATAGAATAAACAGGCCCCTCATCCAGGACTTGGAGTGGAACGTGCAGTGTGAAATGTTTGCAATTCTCTATTCATGCACTCTTAGGGAAGGGGAAATGCAGGGGAGGGGGCAACTGGATGAAAACAGGACCCTTGGGTAGGTAGAGACTGACAGCTGGGGTGGCTTGGGTTGGGAATGGCTGCTTTCCATAAACAAGTATCACCTGTTAGTGGAAGCATAAGGATTATGCAGCATGTTGCCAGGATTATGTATAGAATGTGCATTAACATCCTTATTAATACAGGACTTCTGAGCTATGCTTGAAACACTCTGTATGTCATCCATGCATGATTCTGTCTTCTGGTTTGTCTCTGCTGGATGATTCTGTCTTCTGGTTTGTCTCTGCTGGTTAAGTCCTCTGTTGCACTTCAGATTTGGTGGTAGCTTCAGAAGGGAAAATAATTCTGCTGGTGCAGTCCCAAGTTTGGCTACTGC